CTGTAGGCCGTTGCCGAAGTCTTGTAGCAGTACGGCTCCAATGGCGATGTCGCTTGCGTCTGTAACAACCTCGAAGGGGCGGTGTGGGTCGGCGATGCGCAGGACGGGCGGTGAACAGAGAACATTTTTCAGGGCAGAGAAGGTAGCATGCTCTTTCTCCCCCCACGTAAAAGCGACCCCCTTTCGCAGTAAATCCGTCAGTGGGGCAGTTAACCGTGCCATATCAGGGACGAACCGACGCACATAATTAACGAACCCTAAAAAGCTCTGCAGCTCCGTGATGTTCGTCGGGGGATGCCATGCTTTTACCGTATCCAGCTTCTTTGGGTCGATTTCAACTCCAGCCTCCGAAATAACGTGCCCCAAAAAATCTAACCTATCCTGGAAGAACTCGCTGAGGGGAGGTGCAAGTAGAGAAGCGGGAATTGAGGAGAACATGCGGGGAGAAAGTGGTGGACAGGGGAGTTGGAGTGGCAGGAATGCTGAAACGGCATGTGTGAAGGCATGAGAAGCTCGAAGCCTAGATCGCACTTCCCCATGTGGGCCTCGAATATCTGGACCTGTGGGGAGGTGGGAGAAGAGAGGCGGGAATTGAGGAAAAGATGCGGGAGAAAACGAAAGAAGAGGGTGGGGAGGAGGAGGGACAGGGAAAGGGTCAGAGGCAGGATGAGAGAGAGGAGGTGGGGACGGGAAAGGGCAGGAAGCCATTAGGTGCGTCAGTAGTAGCTGTGAACAAGAAGACTGTGCAGTGTGGATGTGCCAGGCACAAGTCACGTCAACAGGCGACATGCGGATGGCATTCATGACTAGGCAACAGGCTGTGCCACGTGGCACTATACGATAACCTTATCTTCCTGAATATTGTCCGATCTGTCTCGTGTCGTCATCTTGCAAACTTCTGCTTCATGCATCATGCCATCATGTACCATGAAGGCCATCTGTCATAACTGGGATAGACAACCCTCATCGAAGCAAAATGCGGGGAATAGTGAAACACAGGAAGCTGCAGCCGCGTACCAACCATCAGCGTTATTGCGTCATTGCAACGCAACGACTCTCTGACTCACCGTCTCTAAAAGCACCCAAACAATGCCTGTCACGGCATCTCGGCACCTCGGAGGAGAAACGCCACAACGCAAAACTATGAACAGCCTGTGAATGCAGCCGAACGGCAGCATATTTATCATCCGACCGACGGGACTGGCGATTCGCCTCAACAGGCAACAGCCTTCGTCAAGAGAAGGCCTGCGACCGATGACATGGTCGGTGAACGAAATAGTACAGGCGGGAATTCTTAGGATCGTAAGCACCTTAGTCGGCAATAGTCTACTTGCTATCGCCTATCGTGTTCTCCAATGATATGCGCAGCTCTGCTTGAAGTTGTCAATACACACTTCAGCAATTTTCAGAATCTGATTGGTATGATTTCCAGAATGAGTACAAGCAGTTTTATAGTCAGGCAAGACACAAAATGCGATTCGTAACTTCACTTGTTTCCCAAGTAACCGCGTGCGCCTCGTTTCACCCCGAGTCGCACACACAACCGAACCGAATTCGGTGAACACTCCTCAAGACCGAATCTGGAACCTTCTCGAACACGCCTCGAGCTCGAACCACAATTTCCCCTCGCCAACTTCAATCTCGATGCTTCTTCCACCTTCTCACACATTCCTTCTCGATTTCTCTCTCCCTTCTCACGCCGTAGGCCGATTTCCACCGTTTCACCTAGAATCATCCACGCGCTTCCATTTCGCCGTCATTCCGCCGTCGTAGAGACTTTCGCCTTAGGTTCCGTGGTTGGGCGAACCAACCCTAACAGGAATCCCATCGGTGAAACTGCGGATCCAAGTTCACAGGGATTATCCCAACCGCTGCAAGGTAGATTGTTACCCCCGCAGCAGCAGCAGCGCTGACTCAAGGCAGCGTCGAGAACGAGAAGCTGAAAGAGGGAGACTGAGGCGTGTGAGGAAAAAAAGCGGGATTCGGAATTCGGGATTCGGGACAACTCTGCCTGGCTGTGCGCGGCCCGTCGCATCGCTGCGCGGCGACATCGGTTCACGCTGCTCGGGGGTAATCAAGCCGGCGGCTTACGAGCCGCTACGTGTGGCTGATGCGGCACACAGAAGCCCATCGACGACAATGGAATTCTCTTCGACATTGAATAGGAAGAAAATGTCGCCTTCTCACTCTCGCTTATCGTCTACGCCAAAAGGAACTCGCGTCGCGTGCGAACGAATGTTACTGAAACGGTTCTAAACTATGTCGCACATACAAGTCCCTTCAGAGCGTGAAATGATTTCAGGAGAATGTGTTTTCGTACCCTTTTGAACCTCTCAACCGAACCCAACCCAACCGTTGCTCGCCCAGGAAGGAGTTTTGGCCCGTGTACAGTACTTTCGAGATCCAATTTCATCCTCCCCATTGCGTTCTTGTTCCTCTCAATCCTTCATCCGGAACCGTTGTGCTTCTTGTAGAACCGTTTAAAAACGTTGTCAAACTTGCAGAACCGTTTAAACACGTTGTGGTCTGCTGCTAAAACGCTGAACAAATTCCAGATTCAGTTCACGAGCACCAGGCGATTGTGCCATTTCTATGCTCCAGATTAGTTCTCTAGTTTTCCCTTCGATCAAGTGACATACCAGCGTAGCTGCAGCAATGGAGCCTAAAGCACGCATACACGATCTCCCTGACGATGTCCTTGTTAGGATTCTCTGGCCTTCCCAGCCGCCTAAATCTCACATTTCCGAGAGCGATAAGATTTGGAAGTCCTTATGGCCTCATCCAGAGCGAATATGACTACGAAAGAGATCCGCGACCAGAGAATGACCTCGCTGCCGACTCCTCCAAGCTCGGCAGACGCCGCTTATAATCTCCTCGTCGCGTCGATCTGCCGTCGCTGGCGACGTCTCGCTCAAACTCGTGTCTCATCGCTCTTCGTCAAGAGAGACCGCGTCGTTTCTCGCGAGGATGTTCTCAACGCGGTCGCGTGCTTCCCAAAGCTGACGTGTCTTTATCTGAGCGATGACAGCGTGGACACTCTCGACAACCTCTTCCTCGCCTGGCTCGCCGCTTCGTGCCGGCATCTCACAGCATTCCACGTGGGAAAGTCGATAACACATGATACGGTTCCAAATTGGGGGAAGGCTGGTGAGCGTCCGTTAACCGAAGCAGGCCTGGATCGTTTCTTCCGTGTCTGCACTGGGTTGGAGGAGCTGTCGCTCTGCTGTTTCCGTGAAGCTGACAAGCTACCAGCCTCTCTGTTCAAGTTACCACACCTGCGCGTCCTTCTCCTAAACACTGCAGGCTGGTTGAATGCAAGCAGTTGGATTGCTTACCAGAGGGTTTCGGCTGCCTCACATCACTCAAGTACCTGAGCTTGGTGGATTGCCCGCAGCTGAAGCTTCCAAAAGACATTGGGGAGCTGACTAACCTCCACACCCTCTACTTGAAGGGTAACAACGCCAAGCAGCCGCTCCCTCCTTCATTCACGCAGCTGGCTTCCTTGGTCAGGCTGGAGCTTGACAATTGCCTCATAGCTCATCTTCCAAAAGGCCTGGATCAGCTAAGGAACCTGCAGCAGCTGTACGTTCTCACTTGTCCGAACCTCAGCGCGCTTCCAAAGTTTGTCACAGACTTGATAAGCCTTCGCATTTTAAGTATTCAGAGGTGCAGCGGGCTCAGTACAGTACCGAGGAGTTTGGACAGGCTCACCAGGTTGAAGCAGTTGGAGCTGAGTGGTTGTGAGCAGCTGAAAGTAGCTCCGAAAGTTCTGCCACTTGCTCTCCAGGTGCTAAGTCTGGGAAACGAGGAGAATCCTACAGCTCTGCCAGATTTGTCAAGGCTTACAAATCTCAGAAGGCTGAGCTTGCATACTGTTGAAGCAGGATGGTGCCTGTCCATCAAAGGCGGCCTCTCGGGATTAGAAGACTTGAGGCTCACAATGGCTGCCGGCGCAGATGAGCTGTTTATCTCATTTGCGGGTCCTTCTCGCCTCCGTTCGCTCGACATTTGGGGTGCTCGGGGACTGAAGAGGCTTCCTGATCTGTCACCTTTACAAGATCTCCGGGAGCTGTACTTAAACATGGCTGAAGTTAACCGAGCTGCCAGTGACCATCACAAGCCTGCAGCAGCTGACATCCATTGATATCTACGCCCCCAAATTGACTTCGATTCCAGAGGGCGTCGGGGCCTTATCCAGGTTGCGCGAGCTAAGCCTGACCAACTGTTTCTCCTTCGCGCATCTCCCCGCTTCTCTCACCAAGCTCTCCTGTCTCCACTACATGAAGCTGAACAATGTCTTCATCTCCTCCCTTCCTGCAAACTTTGGTCAGCTCACCAGACTCAAGGATCTCTGTATGTTCGGCTGCATGCATCTGGAAGCGCTGCCTGAGGATTTGACAGAGCTCAAGCTGCTCAGTCGTCTAGATATCGGGGGGTGTCTTAAGCTACATGGTCCCATGCAGTTGGAGATGGAAGATGACTGGTAGTTCATTGTTAGGAAGTAGGTACTTGTGGCTGGTTTTGATACCTTATGTTATTATCTTGCATTTCTCGCGCTATCAGGTGTGTGTGTTTTCAGGTACTAAGACCTGAGCATCTTGCTCCTATGCATGCATGAAGATGCTGGGCGGCACATTCATGCATGTCATAGTAGTTTCATCCTGCTTTAGTCAACAGCCAGTCAATCTGCAAGCCACTGATCATGCCATCAAGAATTATCATTATCCAGCCATGCACTCATGAAATGCGATACAACATTCAGCACCCAGTTACAGTACCCTAAGAGTCATACGAGCACAGAAAGTCAAAGTTGAGTGACGGGAGCTCTTGGCTGACACTCATCAGTTCTTGCAGAGGGCAAGGAAGACTGATGTGTGGTCGGAAGAGGCATTCGTTTCGTTGCGGAGGGCAGAGAAAGAGAGCCTTCCAGTTCCAGATCCCAGTTGCTGATGGGTCCTCTTGGCTGTCGCGGAGGGCAAGGAAGGAAGACTGATGTGTGGTCAGAAGAGGCAGCACTCACTACCGGAGAAACCGCCACGGGCGCACGGGGAGGTGGTGATCAGAGTGGCGATCTTGGCCTTGCACTTGGTAAGGTGAAAAGGGCCTGCTGCAGGGAGGAAGATGTGATGGTATGCAAGGCAGGGAAGGTAAGGAAAACAGGTAAGGTAAGGAAAACAGGTAAGGTAAGGAAAACAGGTAAGGCAAGGGAAACAGGTAAGGTAAGGAAAACAGGTAAGGTAAGAGAAACAGGTAAGGTAAGGAAAACAGGTAAGGTAAGGAAAACAGGTAAGGGAAACAGGTAAGGTAAGGAAAACAGGTAAGGTAAGGAAAACAGGTAAGGTAAGGAAAACAGGTAAGGTAAGGAAAACAGGTAAGGTAAGGGAAAGAGGTAAGGTAAGGGAAAGAGGTAAGGTAAGGAAAACAGGTAAGGTAAGGAAAACAGGTAAGGCAAGGGAAAGAGGTAAGGTAAGGAAAACAGGTAAGGTAAGGAAAACAGGTAAGGTAAGGGAAACAGGTAAGGTAAGGAAAACAGGTAAGGTAAGGGAAACAGGTAAGGTAAGGAAAACAGGTAAGGTAAGGAAAACACGTAAGGTAAGAAAAACAGGTAAGGTAAGTGAAACAGGTAAGGTAAGTGAAACAGGTAAGGTAAGGGAAACAGGGAACGTAAGGAAAACAGGGAAGGTAAGGAAAACCGGGAAGGTAAGGAAAACAGGGAAGGTAGGGAAAGCAGGAAAAAGCAGGAAAAAACAGGGAAGGTAGGGAGATCAAGGAAGGTAAGGAAAACAGGTATGGTAAGGTAAGAAATACCGGTAAGGTAAGGAAAACGTAAGGGAAAACAAGTACGGTAAGGTGAGGAAGACAGGGAAAAACAGGGAAAAACAGGGAAGGCAGGGAGATTAAGGAAGGTAGGGACAGCAGATACGGTAAGGTAAGAAATACCGGTAAGGTAAGGAAAACAGGAAAGGTAAGGAAAGCAGGAAAGGTAAGGAAAACAGCTAAGGTAAGGAAAACAGGGAAGGTAAGGAAAACAGGGAAGGTAAGGAAAACAGGGAAGGTAAGGAAAACAGGGAAACAGGGAAGGTAAGGAAAACAGGGAAGGTAAGGAAAACAGGGAAGGTAAGGAAAACAGGAAAGGTGGGGAAAACATGGAAGGTAAGGAAAACAGGGAAGGTGGGGAAAACATGGAAGGCAAGGAAAACAGGGAAGGTAGGGAGACCAGGGAAGGTAGGGAAAACAGGGAAGGTGGGAAAACAGGGAAGGTGGGAAAACAGGGAAGGTATGGAAAACAGGGAAGGTGGGAAAACAGGGAAGGTGGGAAAACAGGGAAGGTGGGAAAACAGGGAAGGTGGGAAAACAGGGAAGGTGGGAAAACAGGGAAGGTGGGAAAACAGGGAAGGTGGGAAAACAGGGAAGGTGGGAAAACAGGGAAGGTGGGAAAACAGGGAAGGTGGGAAAACAGGGAAGGTGGGAAAACAGGGAAGATGGGAAAACAGGGAAGGTGGGAAAACAGGGAAGGTGGGAAAACAGGGAAGGTGGGAAAACAGGGAAGGTGGGAAAACAAACAGGGAAAACGTGGGAGATGAAGTAACGTGGGAGATGAAGTAACGTGGGAGATGAAGCACCCACCTGCACCATGTGTGCCCCACCGCACCCACCTGCACCATGTGTGCCCCACCGCACCCACCTGCACCATGTGTGCCCCACCGCACCCACCTGCACCATGTGTGCCCCACCGCACCCACCTGCACCATGTGTGCCCCACCGCACCCACCTGCACCATGTGTGCCCCACCGCACCCACCTGCACCATGTGTGCCCCACCGCACCCACCTGCACCATGTGTGCCCCACCCACCTGCACCGGGGCCACAACGGCCTCAGTCATTTGCAAGCGAGTCAAGGGCAGCCAGTCGAGTCAGCTCCACCAGATTTGCAGGAGGGGAGCGGATGGAGGTGCCTTCGAGAACCAGCTGGTGCAGCTGGGTGAGACTCTCCGGGAGGTGCCGCAAGGCCCTGCAATGAAACAACTCCAGTTTGCGCAGTCGAGCCAGGGAGCTTATGCCTTGAGGTAGCGCCACCAGCCGCGGTGCGTTGATCATTAGTGACGTCAGCTTGGAGAGCTCCCCTATGCTCCCTGGCAGCTCCTCCGGTGTCCAAGACAGAAGGCTCAGTTTCCGAAGCTCCGGAAACGCTGTGGCCATGTTTACCGGGAGGCTAGAGATGCCAGGCGCCTTGATCAGCAAGCTGCGCAGGCGAGGGAGAAACACTAAGGGAACTGCGGGTTCCTGATTGCTTCCTTTCCAGAACATCTCGAGCTGCTCCAGCTGCTCTAGTTGCTCCGGCTTCTCGAGTTGCACCCGCTTTTCCAGCAGCTCCATCAGCTCATTGAACAGGCTGTGCGGGTGAGGGAGAGAAGCAGAAAGACCCTGGAATTCTCCTTCTAAACGCATCTTCACCTCCTCCACCTGCCCCACCTGCCCAACCTGCCCCACCTCCGACACCTGCCCCACCTGACCCACCTCCTCCTCCACCTGCTGCTCCTCCTGCTGCGCCTGCTTCAGCAACTTCAGCTGCTGCTCCCGCTTCACCTCTTCTGGCACCTCCGCCATCTGCTCTTCCAGCTGCTCCTCCACTTGCTCCAGCTTCTGCTTCACTTGCTGCTTCACCTGCTCCTGCTTCACCTGCTCCGCCTGCTTCAGCTCACGCACGCGCTTCTCCACCAGCTCATTGAACGAGCTGCGCAGTTGAGAGAGAGAAGTTGAGAGGTCTACACCTTCTCCTCCAATCCTCTGCTCCATCTGCTCCAGCTGCTCCAACTGATTCACGAACGAAAACCTCTCGGCCGCTGCAGGCCCGCAGGTCACCCCAACGCGGTTCAGCTTCAGCACCCTCAGCTGCGACAGCTGGGAGATGTCCACCACAAGGGAAGAGCCTTCCTCAAAGGGCCCCAAGCAGAGGGTCTCAAGAGAGGGGGGCAGACCGGCAGGGGGTTCACTCAGCTGCATGCACCACGTCAGCTCCAGGCTCTTGAGCCCCACGAGGGCACACAAGCGGAAAGGTATTTCTGAGAGTGCACCGCAGTATTGGACAATCAAGATCTGAAGCCTCGTAAGCCGTATAAGTGAGCAAGGAAGCATGCCGATTTCAAGGTTACTGAGCTTCAGCTCCCGCAGGCTGCTCAGCTCTCCCAGGGCTTCTGGCAGAGACTCGATCGCCCAGCAGTCATACAACTCAAGGCGCGTCACGGAAGTCAGGTCGGTGAAGGAAGGCGGAAAGGACTGCTGCCCGCAGGCAAGCAGCCCGAGAGCCTCCAGGCTGGCAAGGGCGCCAACGTCCTCAGGCAAGGAACAGCCCTCCGCGTTGAAGACGCTGAGCTCCTTGAGACCTGTGAGGCGGCAGAACCGTTCTGGCAGCTGCGAAAGCTCAGGGCAATCTGCTATGAAGAGTGATTCTAGAGATGTGAGGTGATAGAAGGAAGGAGGGAGCTCGGTGAGACATAAATCTTCCAGAATCAGCGATTTGAGGGCAGGCAGTTCACCGAAGCTGGTGGGTAAGGCTGTAAATCTCTCACAATGACAAACGATGAGGTTTTCCAAAAAGGTCAGAGAAGTGAAGCTTTCGGGCAGGTGAGTGAAACCATCGCTGTTGCGAATATGAAGCTTGCGAAGGCATGGCAGCAAATCTCCTATGCCGTCGGGAACGGTCTCTAGCCCACTGCAGTTGGCGATGAGAAGCTCCTTTAGCCCGGCGAACGGTGATGCTGATGGGAAGATGGCGTCCCACCGAGGACATGAAATCAGAAAATTGAACGATTCTAGGCAAGACGACAGCGTCACGCTTGCAGCACCCGCCGGCTGATGGTTTTGGTGAGGGGCTAGGGTGGAGAGGTGGGCGAGTCGTGGGAGGTGGAGGAGGTTGGAGAGGTGCGGAATATTCCAGGGAAAGGTGATGTAGAGGGTGGTAAGGGCAGTGAGGTTTGTGAGACTGATATTATCCGCGGCCGAGGCGTCGGTGAGAAGAAGGGTACGCAGATGTCCCAGCCGGAAAAACGAATCCGGTAGCTGTGTCTCTTGTTGGAGGCAGAAGAGCGTAACTTGCTCCAACTCTGGAAGCTTCTGAAAGAACCGATCCAATCCCTCCGCGGTTATTGAAACCTCCTTGCGATAATCTTTTCCATGTTCCGATGCAAGGCTCCTTCCCACGTGGAGGCGAGTCAGCTTGGGGCACGAAGACGCGAGGCGGGAGAGGAATGCGTCGTTAAGCGACTCAACGCTGTTATCGCTGAGATGCAGATGGGTGAGGTTTGGGAAGCACGCGACTGCGGATGAGAGATCGTCGCGGGATACCACGAGGCCTTCTTTGACGAGTAGCGTGGTAACGCAACGCTTCGCCAGACGGCGCCAACGACCGCAGACGGACGCGATGAAGAGATTTTGAGTCACGTCTGCGTCTGAAGGAGGGGCTGGTACTGGCGTCTTGTCTATCTGATCTGATTCCTTCGCATAGTGTTTCCATGACGCGGCTGGTTGCTTGAAGGAGCGTTTGATGATCTTAAAAAGGAGGTCGTCGGGCAGACTATTGATACTAGTGTGAGTTTCCATCAAAAACCGACAAATTTGATTGCCACAGCAGTGTGAAGCTACGTGCGGAAGAAGCGAGGATGCTAAGAATGGGTGGAGTTCAGCCAGATCTGTTGGAAAAGAGGTTGGGAAATGAGGGTACGGGTGAGGTGAGGACAGCTACGAAAGGAATTAGGAGGTATTCTACAGATGGAATGCAATCGAAGGATGGAGGGCGTGTTTGATAGTGGAGTTGATACGGTTTGGTTTGGTTGGATTTTTCAGGGTGTTGATATTTCGAGCCCTAGGTGTTGAGGGAGATGATATTTCGATGTAGCTTTCCCCACCCCAGCCCAGGCTTCGTTTCCTCCAGCATCAGACTGGTTCCGCCGGTATGGCATTGCGTGGCGAATCACAAGCAACTTGACGGCGAGCGACGGCTGAGGATGGGTCTTCTGTTACTGGTGGCGGCTCTGCAACCGACAGTTGAAGCTACAGGTTACGCGAAGTTTGATCAGTCACGTTGGCAAGATTGCAACCCTGGTCAAGCACAACAGGAGAGGGATGGAGATAAAAATAAGGATATGACTAAATATAAGAAGGATGAACAAGGGGAGGGAGAAGGGGAGGGAGTAGGAGCGGCGGAGGCAGCAGGCGCTGCGGCAGGCGACGAGACGGGCGGCGGGGGGGACGCCTCCAAGCAGCGCAAGTGGCGTTGGGAGCGGTAGGGTCGGCGGCGTAGAGAGGGGGGTGGAGGGCGGGGTGGGGGATGAAGGGGGGGCTGCTGATGGGCTGGCGGGGAATTGACAAGCTCGAATTCGCCAAGTAGCTGTGACTGGGACTGGTCAGGCGGTGGACACAGGAAGGGAGGAGAAAGGTCAGCAGAAGGCGGGAGACCAAAAACCTGCTGAAGCAGTGGAACGAAGTACGGTGGCGGTCGCACAGCACCTCCAGCACCAGCAGCGACAGCACCAGTACCTCCACCAGCTCCAGCTCCAGCAGCAACTCTAGCTCCAGCTCCAGAAGCACCTCCAGCTCTAGCAGTTCCAGTGCCTCCGGCAGCTCTAGCTCCAGCACCTTCAGTAGCTCTAGCTCCAGCAGCACCTATAGCTCCAGCACCTCCAGCAGCTCCAGCTCCAGCAGCACCTCCAGCAGCTCCAGTAGTACCTCCAGCCCCAGCAGCTCCAGTACCCCCAGTACGAGCACCTCCGGGACTAGTGGCTCCAGCACCTCCAATAGCTCCAGCTCCAGCAGCACCACTCCGGAGGCTCCAGCGGCGAGCAAACCACTCGCGCAGCTGCAGTGGAGAGAGAGACTACGGCCGCGACAAGACACCCGAAGGGCCTCCAGGCTCAGCACACTCGGGCTCAGCACCCCCAGGCTCAGCACCTCCAGGCTCCGCACGCTCAGGCTCAGCACCCCCAGGCTCTGCACCCGCAGGCTCAGCACCCCCAGGCTCCGCACCCTCAGACTCAGCACCCCCAGGCTCAGCACCCCCAGGCCCCGCACCCGCAGGCTCAGCACCCCCAGACGCACCACCTCTAGCAGCACCAGAGTCGACAGCTACCTCCTTTGGCACCACCGTCTTGGTCACCCCTCCTTGCCGCGATTGTGTGGCATGCACTCTCATCTCCTTGTCTCTAGCCTCCCCAGGTCCCTGCCCGCGCTCCCGCGCTCGCTTGCACCGCCGTGCCTTCCCTGCGTCGAGGGACGGCATCGCGACGCTCCTCAATCCTCGTTTCCGTCGACCACTGCTCCTCTGCAGACTCTCCACATGGACGTGTGGGGCCCAGCCCGCGTCCGTGGACAGGACCAGGAGCGCTACTTTTTGTTGGTTGTTGACGACTACACGCGCTACACCACGGTCTTCCTCTTGCGGAGCAAGGCGGATGTCCGAGGTGTTTTGATCGACTGGATCATTGATGTTCGTTGCCAGCTGAGTGCTCGGTTTGAGCAGGACCTCCAGGTCCTGCGACTGCACTCTGACAAAGGCGGTGAGTTTTCCTCCAACTTCCTTCGGGACTTTTGTTGTGCGGAGGGCATCCGCTAGACGTTCCCGCTTCCAGCCTCTCCACAGCAAAATGAGATTGCCGAGCGCCACATTGGTTTAGTCGTGGACGTTGCTCGCACCTCTATGATCCATGCGGCTGCTCCCCATTTTCTGTGGCCGTTTTTGGTCCGATACGCCGCGCATCAGCTCAACCTCTGGCCTCGTGTCTCTGTGCCAGAGACCTCGCCTACACTGCGTTGGACGGGGGAGGTTGGCGATGCGTCGGCATTTCGGGTCTGGGGCGCGCTCTCACTTCTTTCCGATACCACCGCGAGCAAGCTCTCTCCTCACACTCTCCACTGCGTCTTCCTTGGCTTCCCCACCGTCGCCCCGCCCTGGCAGTTTTACCACCCTGTCTCGCGCCGGGTCCTGTCTTCACAGGACGTCACCTTTGACGAATCGGTCTGCTTCTACCGTCTCCACTTGCACACGTCTTCCCCGCTCTCCCTACCGCCCCTCTTCCTAGTCCAAGGTCCTCCTCCGGTAGACCCCCTCCCCCCGCATGGTCATGCTCCCTCAGGTGTGTCTCAGGTTGACTCACCCCTCTTGGTTGAGCCTTTAGAGGTCTCCTCCGACACCTCTGGCCTAGCTGAGGGGCGTGACCCCGCGGCTGACGACACGGCGACGACTCGCCGCTCCCCGCGCTTGGAGGCCCCTCCTGGTTTCCCGCCTCGGCCATCTTCGCCGCCTCCGCAGCATGTCGCTGTGGGCTTTGTTGGTTCTGGGGGTGCTGAGTCTGGAGGTGCTAGTTTTGGGGGTGCTAGAGGTACTGGAGCTGGAGGTGCCGCTGGTTCTGGGGGTGCTAGAGCTGCTGGTGCTGTAGGTGCTGGAGCTGCTGGTGTTGGAGGTGCTGCTGGTGCTGGAGGTGCTGTTGGTGCTGGAGCTGCTGGTGCTGGAGGTGCTGTTGGTGCTGGAGGTGCTGGAGCTGCTGGTACTGCTGGTGCTGGAGGTACTGGAGCTGCTAGTGCTGGAGGTGCTGGAGCTGTTGGTACTGGAGGTGCTAGAGCTGGAGTTTCTGGAGGTGCTGGAGCTGCTAGTGCTGGAGGTGCTAGAGCTGCTAGTACTGGAGGTGCTAGAGCTACTGGTGCTGGAGGTGCTAGAGCTAGAGGTCGTGGAGGTGCTAGAGCTGGAGGTGCTGGAGGTGCTGGAGCTACTAGTGCTGGAGGTGCTGGAGCTATTAGCGCTAGAGGTGCTAGAGCTGGAGGTGCTGGAGGTGCTGGAGCTGCTGGTACTGCTGGTGCCGGAGGTGCTGGAGCTGCTAGTGCTGGAGGTGCTAGAGTTGGTGGTGCCGGAGGTGCTAGAGGTGCTGGAGCTGCTAGTGCTGGAGGTGCTGGAGCTGCTAGTGCTCGAGCTACTGGAGCTCGGTGGTGCTGGAGGTGCTGGAGCTGGAGGTGCTGGAGGTGCTAGAGCTGGAGGTGCTGGAGTTGCTAGTGCTGGAGGTGCTGGAACTGCTAGTGCTGGAGGTGCTGGAGCTCTTGGTGCTGGAGGTGCTAGAGCTGGAGGTGCTGGAGGTGCTGGAGCTGCTAGTGCTGGAGGTGCTGGAGCTACTGGTGCTAAAGGTGCTTGAGCTGGAGGTGCTGGAGCTGCTAGAGCTGGAGGTGATGGAGGTGCTGGAGCTGCTGGTGCTGGAGGTGCTGGAGCTGGAGGTACTGGGCGTGCTGGAGCTGGAGCTGCTGGAGCGGCTAACGGTACGGGTACTGTGCCGCGTCGACCGTTTTTCTACCCGCAACCGCAGTCGTCCCTGCCACCGCCTGACTCGGCCTTTCGCTAGGTGCTTAATCTCCCGTCTTCCACTGGCCTCACTCCACCTCTCCTGTGTCCACCGACAGACCAGTCTCAGCCACAGCTACAGCCTGGCTCCCCGCTACCTGCTCCTACTCCTCACACTAAGGTGACTGAGTCCCTGACTGAGCGTCCTGAGCCTAAGACTCGTGCTTCAACACCTGTTCGTGCTCATCGTGTCCTCCGTCCTCGTCCTCTTGTTGTCTCAGGCACTCACATTATGGAACTTTGTCCTTCTTCTGTTCCACAGCATGTTGCCCTGCCGTCTCCTCCTGCATCCTCTCATCCTGTTGTTCCTGACCCTGAGTCCGACCTTGTTCGTGCTGCCAGTCCTACTGTCACTCGTCTCCTCGTTACTGTCGTCACTGACTCTGCCTTTGAGTCTACTGCAGCGTTTGCCCTAGTCACTGAGCTAGTCGACTTTGCTGCTAGGAGTCGTCTTGACTACGTCGCGAGTCTCGTTACTAAGTCTGGGTCAGTCTGTCCTCCGTCCGTCGGGGTTGAGGTTGCCCTTGGCTGTGATGTCCTTGAGGAGAGGCAGTTTGAGCTTGAGTGTCTCGCAGTTGCTTTACCTCGTTTCGGATCCATGCTGCTTTGCCCTGAAAGAGACCCGGATGCATTTGACATCCCCACCCCGCGCTTTTACACAGAGCCGATCACGGATGAGTACTCCTCTCAGTGGCAGACAGCCATGGATGCAGAGATGGCTTCCTGGAAGTCCACAGGCACCTACGTCGACGAGGTTCCTCCTCCTGGGTCGAACATAGTCGATGGCATGTGGATTTTTAGAGAGAAGCGGCCGCCGGGTTCTCCGCCTGCCTCCAAGGCGCGTTACGTTGCTCGAAGCTTCAGTCAGCGACAGGGGGTCGACTACTTCCTGACCTTCTCCCCCACCCCGAAGATGACTACTCTTCGGGTGTTGCTGCACGTTGCAGCACAGCGTGACTACGAGCTGCACTCCCTCGACTTCTCCACAACTTTCTTGCAAGGCAGCCTTCATGAGGAGATCTGGCTGCGCCGCCCACCTGGCTTCACTGGGTCATTTCCAGAGGATTCCCAGTGGAGCCTTCTGCGGCCAGTCTACGGTCTCGGCTAGGCGCCCCATGAGTGGCAAGACACACTAAGGACGACACTTGCGGCTCTTGGGTTTGCTCCTTCCACTGCTGACCCGTCGTTGTTTCTGCGCACCGACCCTACTCTTCCGCCGTTCTACATCATCGTGTACGTTGACGACTTGGTCTTTGCTACTGCTAACACTTAGGCGCTGGCCCTTGTGAAGGCAGAACTGCAGAAGAGACACACTTGCACTGACCTGGGTGAGCTGCGTAGCTATCTTGGCTTGTAGATCACCCAGGACAGAGCACGGTGCACCATCACTCTGACTCAGTCACACAGTGCACCAGGTCCTTCAGCGCTTCCGCTTTCGGCTCTCCTCGCCACAGCCAACTCCTCTGCCTACAGGCCACTCGCTCTCAGCTCCACCTTCGGACGAGTCCGTAGAGCCGAGTGGTCCGTATCTAGAGGTTGTGGGCCGCCTCATGTACCTGATGACGTGCACACGACCTGACTTCGCGTACCCTCTCAGCATCCTTGCTCGCTTCGTCGCCCCCGGGCGACACAGGAAGGAGCACTGGACAGCTGCGCAGAGGGTACTGCGTTACTTGTGCAGTACATCGGGCATGGGGCTTGTGCTTGGAGGACGGGGTCTAGTGGTACTCACAGGACACTCCGACGCTTCTTAGGCTGGCGACCAGGCGACTCAACGGTCGTCCCAGGGTTACTCTTTCGGTCTCGACTCTGGTTCTGTCTCGTGGAGGTCCACTCGTTTGTTTTCTGTGCTTGGTTCCAGCTGTGAGGCCGAGATCTACGCTAGGGCCATGGCTGCACAGGAGTTACGCTGGCTGACCTACTTGGTGACCGACTTGGGTGAGCGGCCTCGTTCTCCTCCAGTCCTGTACGTTGACAACAAGGTCATTATTGCCTTGTGTTAGGAGCAGAGACTGGAGCAGAGAATGAAGCACATTGGTTTTCGTTACTTTCTTGCTCTCGAGCTGCAGCAGCGTGGTCAGCTGTGCCTTGCTTACGTGGCCTCTCGGGCCAACACTACAGATGTCTTCACCAAGTCCCTTGGGTCTGATGATCATCAGCGTTTCTGCACTGCTCTAGGCCTTGTGCCTACTCTGCTTCACCTGTTGGTTCTTTGACTTGTCTTGTACTATGATATATACATATATACATATATATATATATATACATACCTGCATGCTTGTTCTTGCCAGGTTGTGATTACTGTACTGCTTGTGCTTTTATAACTCTGCATGTGAATTGGCCTTGTGGTTGCTTGTTTGTGCTCAGAATGCGTGGTAATCTTGAGATCCACCATGAGCTTTGCTTTGTTTTGTTCTCTTGCTTGACTGGTCTTGTGACCGTCCGCTGTGTTTTGTATCCCCCACTTTGCCTATGGGTGTGTGTCAAATTGTATTTGTTCTCTATAGGCTGTAGTGGGGCATACCCTTAAGGGTACAACCCTTTAGGGTTAGGTAGTACTTGTACTCACTCTTCCTACATAGTCCATCATTCGTACGTTCCTATTCTGACACATCCTGCCCAAGACTCTCCGCAAGTGCGACAGCAGCAGCCTCAAGCCCAAAAAGTGCACTTCCTAGTACAATTGAGCTGGTTACCAGAGTAGCTAGTCACCAGTCGAGCTTTTTGCCAGCCTTTTGAGCTTGCAGTGTTTGGGATGTGCTTGCTGTTTCAGCAGAGTTTGCCATCTGCAGTGCATGCGGCATGCCCTGTAATGGTTGCTTGCCTTGGCTGCTGGAGGCAGAGGCATGGGGTTGCTTGTTTGTTTTGGTGGGCTGGGCTGTCTATGATGCAAGTTCTAGATGTCACTTGTGGAATGGTGTATGCTAGAAATCTGCAATATAATTTGTTTTTATCATTGGAGAAAGTAGCACCTGTGAAATCTTAAGGGTCAATTACAGCAACCCTGCTCCCATGCTTGATGCATGCAGCAACACATAACACCCTCCTAAGCACCCTGTAGTACTATGTGACCATTTTCTTTCCTTGCCCGGTCTACTTTTATCTACCTCTCACATCTGACCCTAACGTCATCACCATGGCAGCAGGCAGCCTGGCACATACCAACTCCTCCCATGTGATGTTGGGACACCACACCACACAGAAATAAGGTGGTATGCCATCATTGTTGTACCGTAAGCTCCCGGACAGAAGACCCAGGGGTCTTATATGTGGTAGGGAGAAACTTGGGGTGAACAGCAGCGGTGTGGCACCTTCTTTTTAGGACCCCAGCCCCAGGGTCCTCTCCTCTGTCCATGGAATTTCAGCATCAGGCCATTTTACTCACGTGCTCATCTTCTGGTTACACATCCTGTTACTCATCCCGTTACACATCTCATTACACGTCCCGATACACCTTCACTGATTACCACAGCTAGTGCAGGCGAGTAGCTTTGCCATAGGCATGGCGAGGGCGGTTGATGAGCTGCAGCAGGCTGTACACCCAGCGATCCAACATGCCTGGTGGGGGTATTGGGGAGAAGCCGGGGCAGGGAGGTGCAGGGTGAGAGAGGAGGGCAGAAGCACATGATACTTGGCAGGATAGCATGAGAAAGGGCAGGGACGAGGGCGGTCGATGAGCTGCAACAGGCTGTACACCCAGCGATCCAGCATGCCTGGTGGGGGTATTGGGGAGAAGCCGGGGCAGGGAGGTGCAGGGTGAGAGAGGAGGGCAGAAGCACATGATACTTGGCAGGATAGCATGAGAAAGGGCAGGGACGAGGGCGGTCGATGAGCTGCAACAGGCTGTACACCCAGCGATCCAGCATGCCTGGTGGGGGGATTGGATTGGCATGGCAGGGAGGTGCAGGGTGAGAGAGGAGGGCAGCATGGCATGAGAGAGGAGGGCAGGACGCATGGCGAGGGCGATTGATGAGCTGCAACAGGCTGTACACCCAGCGATCCAGCATGCCTGGTGGGGGTTGGGCCGGAACGACAAGGGAGAAAGTGAGGGGTGGGGCAGGACATGAGAGTTGGGGCAATGGAATGAGAGGGCAGGGACGCGGGCGATTGATGAGCTGTAGCAGGGCTGTACACCCAGCGATCCAGCATGCCCGGGGGCGGGATTGGGGGGATGCCCAAGGCAGGACAATACAGGGAGAATGAGAGGGACGGAATGACAGGGTACTTGGCGGGGTGGCATGAGAGGGCAGGGAGGAAGGTGGGCGAGGGCGATTGGTGAGCATGGGTTTAGTATGTGGTTGTAACTCTTAGGGAAGACACCTTGGAAGTTGTTCGAATGCTTGTATGAAAAATCCTTGGGTGTTTGTCCTCACGCACGGGTGGGTGGTGCAGAGAACAATGGAGCACCACCAAGGTGGAAAGCTCTTAGAAAGCACCTTCATGGCGCATGTTTGAGTGCTCGTATCATGTCCCTCTGTCCCTCTCTCTTGCCCCGGACCTCCCGGCCCCTGGCATCACTACCACCCTGCCACACCTACTTGGTGCTCGATCGGACACCTTGATGGTGCTCTGTTGGTCTGCACCACCCACCTGTGAGGGCGAAGGTGCCGCCCAGCACAGCGCAGAGGCGAGTGAGGAAGTGGAAGAAGCTGCGATGCGACTCCGTGATGCTCACTGCTATGGGCGAGAGGTCATACAGGAAGTAGACCGCTGCAGAGGGGAGGGGGAGAGAGAGGAGATGCGGAGAGTTCTGGAGTGGGGCAAGTAGGGAAGACAGCAAGGAAGCTGCGATGCGACTCCGTGATGCTCACTGCTATGGGCGAGAGGTCGTACAGGAAGTAGACCGCTGCAGAGGGGAGGGGGAGAGAGTGGAGATGCGGAGAGTTCTGGAGTGGGGCAAGTAGAGAAGACAGCAAGGAAGCTGCGGTGTGACTTGGTGATGCTCACTGCTATGGGCGAGAGGTCATACAGGAAGTACACCGCTGGAAGATGTGGGGAAGAGGGGGAGGTGGGGAGCGGGACATGGAAATGAAGGGGGGCTTGGCAGGGAGAATTAGGGTGAGGCGAACAGGAAGTACTAGGGTGTGGTTGTGGTGTGGTAGGGAGTGATAGGAAGTGGTAGGAAGTGTTCAAGAGGGCTGGAGGATGTTGGGGACGCAGAGGTGATGTAGGAGAAAAGTGGGAAAATGTAGGGTGGGGAAAGTGGGGGAGGAGGCAAGGAAGCTGAGATGCTTGGATGGGCGACGGGGAAGTTGTAGACGGCTGTGAAGAGAGGTGAAAGAGGTGCGAGGGGTGGAAAGGGCAAGAGGGGTGGAAGGGATGAGAGGAGTGGAAGGGGCGAGAGAAGTGGAGAGAGAAATGGAGGCTGCATACCTGGCAGTGTGCGTGTGCATGCCTGGCAGTGTGCGTGTGCATACCTGGCAGTGTGCATGCGCATACCTGGCAGTGTGCATGCGCATGCCTGGCAGTAACTGCAGTGAGGAGGGCGTGAATTATTTACGGTTGGAGTGGAAGCGAGAGAGCACTACCTGAGGGCACATACGCATGCGCATACCTGGCTGGCAGTGCGTGCGTGCACGGTGCACCTGCAGTGTGCATGCACATACCTGGCAGGGCGTTGGACTGCAGTGTGCATGCACATACCTGGCAGGGCGTTGGACTGCAGTGTGCATGCACATACCTGGCAGGGCGTTGGACTGCAGTGTGCATGCACATACCTGGCAGGGCGTTGGACTGCAGTGTGCATGCACATACCTGGCAGGGCGTTGGACTGCAGTGTGCATGCACATACCTGGCAGGGCGTTGGACTGCAGTGTGCATGCACATACCTGGCAGGGCGTTGGACTGCAGTGTGCATGCACATACCTGGCAGGGCGTTGGACTGCAGTGTGCATGCACATACCTGGCAGGGCGTTGGACTGCAGTGTGCATGCACATACCTGGCAGGGCGTTGGACTGCAGTGTGCATGCACATACCTGGCAGGGCGTTGGACTGCAGTGTGCATGCACATACCTGGCAGGGCGTTGGACTGCAGTGTGCATGCACATACCTGGCAGGGCGTTGGACTGCAGTGTGCATGCACATACCTGGCAGGGCGTTGGACTGCAGTGTGCATGCACATACCTGGCAGGGCGTTGGACTGCAGTGTGCATGCACATACCTGGCAGGGCGTTGGACTGCAGTGTGCATGCACATACCTGGCAGGGCGTTGGACTGCAGTGTGCATGCACATACCTGGCAGGGCGTTGGACTGCAGTGTGCATGCACATACCTGGCAGGGCGTTGGACTGCAGTGTGCATGCACATACCTGGCAGGGCGTTGGAGTGTGGCGAGGAGGGAGTGAAGTATTCACTGATGGAGTACTGGTTCGTCTTCACTGCCCCCCCGTGCCAGAAGCGGAAGCGCGTCGGCACCACCTGAGGGGACACGTGGGTGAAGAGCAATTAGACATGCTGCACCGCTTGCACCCCACTAGAATTCCCTGAAAAGGGACTTGGGGGTTGGCTCTCATGTACCTTCCTGGAAATGTAGTGAAGAGTATGCTGTGAGAAAAACTACTCTACCATGCCACTGAAGGGCAGGTCGTGGTGTAGAGTGTGGTGGAGTGTGGTGAGGTACTTGTAGTATTCTTGGAGTGTGGTGAGGTACTTGTAGTATTCTTGGAGTGTGGTGAGGTACTTGTAGTATTCTTGGAGTGTGGTGAGGTACTTGTAGTATTCTTGGAGTGTGGTGAGGTACTTGTAGTATTCTTGGAGTGTGGTGAGGTACTTGTAGTATTCTTGGAGTGTGGTGAGGTACTTGTAGTATTCTTGGAGTGTGGTGAGGTACTTGTAGTTTTCTTGGAGTGTGGTGAGGTACTTGTAGTATTCTTGGAGTGTGGTGAGGTACTTGAACATCGATGAGCTCTAAGAGTTATTTGTAGTTGAAATCTCCACTAAATCGGGCAGGGTCCTCCCCTTCCTTCAGCAGCGGCAGGGTGGAATGGAGTAGCTTGCGGTGCAGTGCGGTGGAGATGGCTCACCTTGAGGAAGTACTTGAATGTGCCACTGGAGCGGGCAGGGTCCCCCCCTTCCTTGAGGGGCGGCAGGATGCGGACGAAACCGTCCAGAGGGTTGAGGCGGCCGGGATAGGGCACCCCGAAACCGAGGGAGTGGATGACGTGAGACACGTTCACATCGCCCACTGATGAGAAGACCTGGGAAAGGGGGGAGCGACGAGGGGGTGGAGAGGGGGGGGTTGAAGGGAAGAAAACTTAATTTGAGGCAGGCCAGGCGGGGAGCAAAGGAAGACGAAAAGGAAGAGGAAGGCACTCCGAAAATGCGAAAGTGGATGATGTGACTCCCGTTCACATTGCCCACAGACGAGAAGACCTGGGAAGGAAGGTGAGGAGGAGGGAAAGCAGGTAGAATTGAGTTATATTAAGGGAGGCGGGAGGTAGGAGGACGTGAGATGCGGATGAGGAAGAAAAAAACAATTTAGGGTTCTTTTCACGTCGACTCAGTGCACGGAGTGGACGGCGCGTGTCGCCTTCACACTAGGGTTGTGGAAAGTACTGAACCGAACCGGTTCGTTCATGAACCGGATTTTGCCCTACCCGGTCCGTGGTTCGGAATTTTGCTTATTGAAGAGAACCGGTTCGGACGAACCAGACCAGTTCGGTTTGTTTATTCACTTCCAATGTAGACACAATTTTCCAGGCGATTTATTTCCGTCGTGGCCGTCCTCCATTCGGATTGGATTGTGAACCCGAAACTAGGGAGACATGCAATTCTAACCGCAGCGTTGACCTACAACGCACCTTCGAAGCCTAAGAATCATCCTTCACTGGTAAATCTTGGTTTTGAGAGCGAGCTGCGAGTGTTTCAATGGAAAGGTTACTCTAAGGTGATGACGGTTCTAAGAAACCATGGTGGTTTCTAAGTCGTATCTCCTAGTGTACTAATTAAATTCGTCCAAAAACGGATGGATCAAGTAAGAAAACGATCAAGAAAAAAAATGGCGGGCGTAACTTAGGAAAGCTTGGTGGTGGACATACTCGGGATGCTAGGTGGCTGGCAGGACTAAAAACTACGAAAGAGTTGGAGCTCAAAACGAGCTTCTACTCTCTGGTCGACGAAGGCAATAGAACCCTGTGCGACCCGAGTCGCGCGGGGTTACACGACGAGCCGAAATAGGCGATGAAACTATTAAACCGTCCTTTTGCGTTGGTCCGTTGCAGCGCGGTCAACTCATTCCAAAATCCTGGAATGAGACGCGCCCGACGAAGAATCTTAGGTGATCAGTGCAAAAGCGTAGGGAAGGTACTATACAAGTGACGTACCAGTTGAAAATGGATAGCCTTATCATCTTCCTCAACATCCTTCATGGGCCTGTCAATCTGCAAAGGTTGGTTCGTGATACACGCGTACTGAGTACCATCTGTGAGGACCAGCCTTTGCAGATTGACAAGCTCAAGAAGGATCTTGAGGAAAAGGATAAGGCTTTCCAGTTTCAGCAGGTTCGTCACTTGCATGGTACCTTCGCTACGATTTTGCATAGATCACCTAAGATTCTTCATTGTGTGCGTGTCTCATTCCAACGAACCTACCAAACCTACGAACCGGTTCGTCCTAAGATTCTTCATCGTGCGTGTCTCATTCCAACGAACCTACCAAACGTATGAACCGGTTCGTAAAACGAACCGGATCGATTCGTCAGCGAACCACACCAGAAAATGACAATTCGGTTCGTTCATTACCGACCCGAACTGCGCCGACCTGAACCGCGGTTCAGCGGGCTGCTCATACCTACTTCACACCACCTTGCGTACTGCAGAGAAGACTACTTGGGAAGAGGAGGGGAGAGGGAGGGGGAGAGCTGAGGTGGGAAGAAGGCCGAGTTGAAATGAGGTGGGGACAAGTGGTGGTGAGTGAATTGGCATTAGAGCATGAGTTGCTTGCGTCCAGGTCGCACCACGCAACACACCTGCTGCTTCAGCACCAAGCAAGCAACCCAGATTACCTGCTGCAGCACGAGATAGGACTGGCCGTGCAGCGATACATGGAAGTTGATTGATGCATACGAGAATGAGGGCAGCACATAGCAGCCAAGCACCTCACCAGGCAGCAGGCAGCAGCTCACCTGCTGCAGCACGAGGTCGGACTGGCCGTGCACCAATACGTGGGAAGTTGATTGATGCGTGCTGCACCTGCTGCATCAATCCCACCGCACCACACACAACCGCATCGTACCTGCTGCAGCACGAGGTAGGACTGGCCGTGCACCGATACATGGAAGTTGCCTGCCACCCTCTCCACTGAAAGATGGCCGTACAGCTGGCGAGAGAGGTAGGAAGGAGGTATGGAGGAGAGGGAAGAGGTAGCAGGGAGTGAAGAGAAAGGTGAGGAAGCTGGGATGGAAGTTGCCTGCCACCCTCTCCACCGACAGATGGCCGTATATAGCTGGAGAAAGGGCACAGGGAGCAAGGAGCATGGAGCAGGGAGTGAGGGGAAAAAGGGCACACCACATGAGCACCGATACGTGGAAGTTGCCCACCACCCTCTCCACTGACAGATGGCCGTATAGCTGGGAAGGCGGAGCAGGGAACAGGGAGCACAGAAGAGGGAGTGAGGGGAAAGGCAAAAGGCCCACCGCACGTGCACCGAGACATGGAAGTTGCCCATCGCTCTCTCCACTGACAGCTGGAGAGAAGAGGGCGCAGGGAAGAGGGAACAGGGTGCAGGGAAGAGGGAAGAGGGAAGAGGGAGCGGAGCGTAGAGTGAAGAAAAAGGCAATGTGGGGAAAGAAGGGTAGGGGGTGGAAAGGGGAATGGTGAAGGGGGGAGCAAAAACGGAGAAGGAAGAGGAGAGCGGAGTGGAGTCACTGGGGGTGAAAATAAGAGCACGCATAGGCAGTGGAGGTAGCAGAGGCGACAGAGGCAGCAGAGGTGGCAGAGGTGGCAGATGTGGCAGAGGTGGCAGAGGCAGTGGAGGCAGCAGCAGAGTACCACAATTGAATGCTCTCATACACACAACTGCCACCCCCTCTCACACACACACCTGCCATCCCCCACACACACGCACCTGCCAACCCTTCCCCCACACACACCTACCCCCCTTCCCACACTACCTGGCACCCTTCCCCAGCAGCCATGGCCTTCTGCACGTCCAGCACCATCTGCTCCAGCCCCACCACCTCGTCCCCCTCCTCCTCCTCCTCTTCACCCTCCTCCTCCCCCGCCTTCCCCTTCTGTCCCCCTGCCGCGTGTGCCTGCCCGTACCCGTGTGCGTGCCCGTGCCCATGGTGGGGCGTGGGGGATTTACCGTGCGAGTGGCCTGTGGTGGGGAAGAAAAAGGCGAAGAAGGTGTTGGTTTGCCATGCACAACACATGCACCACGTGTGCGATGCCTGCCCGTACCTGTGTGCGCGTGCCCATGCCCATGGTGGGGCGTGGGGAATTTACCATGCAAGTGGCCTGTGGTGGGAATAGGGGAAGGGTAAAGAGAGCCAATGCATGAGTTGCCTCAAATATAGCACCCATGCGCCTGCCCATACTCGTGCGCGTGCCCATCCCCATGGCGGGGCGTGGGGGATGTACCGTGCATGTGGCCCTGTGGTGGGGAAGAAGAGTGTAAAAGGGAAGGGAGGCGTGCATTCAGTGCATGCACATTCACGTGTGCACAAGTGCATGCACATGCCCCCACACCACGTGTGCCTGCCCATTCACGTGTGCTTGCCCGTACCCATGCGCTTGCGCATGGCCATGGCGGGGCGTGGGGGATTTACCATGCGTGTAACCTCTGGTAAGAGGGGAAGGGAAAGGGGAGAAAGAGACGATTCCATGCATGCATGACACATGTGTGCCTGCCCTGCCCATTCCCGTGTGCATGCCAATGGTGGAGCGTGGGGAATTTACCATGCATGTGGACTGTGGTAAGAGGGGAACGGGGAGGGGAAGGAGAGTTTGTCTGTGGATGACTTGCCTCAGTCATAGCACACGTGTGCCTGCCCGTTGGGGTGATTTTCGAGGCGCACTCAAATCAAAAATCACCTCTGTGCATGACTTGCCTCAGTCATAGCGCATGTGTGCCTGCCCGTTGGCAAGAAAGAGATTCCGCAACAGAGCCACCCACACCACACCACACGTCCGCACCGCAGCAGCCCCAGCTCCCAACGTGGCGCTTCTTGGCCTCGCTCTGCCGCCATGCCCCCCCCGTGGGGTCCTTGAGCGATTGCAAACCTGCCCCTAGTTGTTCCCCCAAGCCTCTGGTCCCAAGCCTCTGGTCCCAAGCCTCTGGTCCCAAGCCTCTGGTCCCAAGCCTCTCGTTCCAAGCCTCTGGTCCCAAGCCTCTCGTCCAAAGCCTCCAACCCCGAAGTGGCGAGCCTCACCTTTGCGCTTCTTGCTCTTGCTTTGCCGCCACGCCCCTGTGGGGTCCTTGAGCCAGCGTGAGTCTGCCAACTGACCATGGCGGTCCAGACGAATCTGATGGGGGAGAAGGGGGTGAGAGAAGGGGGTGGGGGGGGGGGGGGGGGTGGGGGAGGAAGGAGGGGGAGACAGAAGAGGGGGGGGGGAGGGGGGAGGGGAAGGGGGGGAAGGGGAGGGGGTCCTTGAGCCACCGCGAGTCTGCCAACCGGCCATGGCGGTCCAGACGGATCGGATGGGCGGCAGGGCGGAGAGGGAGGGGAGGGGATGGGGAAGAGAGGGCGGTGGAGGGGGGTCTTGAGGCACAATGAACGAGCCATCTGGCCATGGCGGTCCAGGCAGGTCGAAAGGGCCTGAGAGGAAGGAGAGGAGGGAGAGGAGAGAGAGGAGGGAGAGGAGAGAGAGGAGGGAGAGGGGGGAGAGGAGGAAGTGGAGGAAGAGGAGGAAGAGGAGGAAGAGAAGGAAGAAGGGATGGGGAGGGAGGGGAGGGGACGGGGAGGTTCGACGGGAGGGTAGGAGTGAGCTGAGCACACAGGTGGCGGACTCACGGTGGCTTTAAGGGCCCCATCTGTGCGCCCCATGGCAGTCGCTTGGCAAATACTCAAAAGCGTGGCGTGGTTGTCGAAACGGATTCGATAGAAAGCAGAGAGGATAATATAGCATGGGAGGGATATGGAATGGAAGGGTCAATTTTCAAGGCGCCTCAAAAGTAGAGAGGATGTGATAGCATGGGAGGGATATGCAATGGAAGGGTCTGTTTTCGAGGCGCCTTGAAACTCAACATAATAGACAGCAAGGGAAACGCGAGCGGAGAATGTCCGGGTGGGGTGTGGAAGGCCGAGGTACGGTAACGGGATAGACATGCTGCTAGTGAACAGCAGACGAGTGGCCATTCAATCAAGGGCAAATGTGGCGTGATGCGATGCATGGGTGGGAGGGAAGGGGAGAGGGTGGGTGGGCGGCAGGGTGGTGGGTGGGCGGCACCGGGGGGGTGGCGTGGCACTGGAAGGGGAAGATGGGTGCAGGAAGAAGGGCGAAATATGGTTGGAATAGAAGGACGAACAGCACAGCACAACACAGCACAGCACAGCACAGCATTGCCAAGCTATGGTGTGCGAGGCGTTGCAGACGTTTCCATTGCATGCACTCCCTCGATCGAGCGTCCCTCAATGGTAGCATAACAAAACAGTGAGAGTCGCAGGGTGCTTTGTTATAACGTGTACAAGAGAGAAGCCTCGTTATACCTTGTACTCGTTAAGTGAGGCCTCGTTATCCCTTGTAGTCATGAGAGAAAGCCTCGTTATACCTTATACTCGTTAAGCGAAACCTACCTTGTACATGTTGGTTGCGATGTCCACCTCATGGTTGCCCGACATGTCCAGAGCATCGAGACTGATCACTGTGTGCCACACACACACACACACACACACACACACACACATGCACACACGCACGCACACGCCCACACACTCACACACACACGCACCCACAAGCTCCCCCCCCCCCACCCACCCCCACCCCCCCCCCCCCACATCATGTACATGCACCCACGCACTTGAGATAATTCACGATGACGGCATGCACCGGAAACGCGAACTTGCAAACGCGAAACAGGACAAGGGACGCGCAAAGAGTGGAGTGGAGATGACGGGAGGGAGGGGAGGAGAGAGGGATGGAGATGGCCGGGATGGGATGGGAGGGGAGGGGAGGAGAAGTTGCGAGCATACCAATTCAAAGCAGGAGGAAAGGACATTGACAGGGGAAGGCATTAACGAAAGGAATGGAGAGGAAGGAGGAGAGGAGGAACGGGTGGAGGTGAGAGAGAGAGGGACGAGGACAGGTAGGTGGGTGGAAAAGGAGGCGGGCGGGGGATGCCGGTGAGGTCACCATTGCAGGGCAGCGAGGGGAAGGAGATGTTGAGATACACGTCCAGCTTCTCATCCCTTGGCGTCTTGTCCACTGCCATCTGTGGGGTGGGTGGGGTGCAGGGGAAGGGGAGAACGGGAGCATGGGAGGGAGGGGAGAGGAGGGGAGGGCAGGGAGGGGAGATATGAGATACACATCGGGCTTCTCGTCCCTTGGTGTCTTGTCCACTGCCATCTGGGACAATGGGAAGGGGAGAGGCGGGAAGGGAGAGGAGGGGAGGGAGGGGGCGGGAGGGAGGGAGGGGAGGGGAGGGAGGGAGCACGGACGCAAGATTTACTCGCCTTGCTGTTTGCTCGGAACGAAGTCAATCACCTCCTCATGCACCTCAGGCAGGTGTGCGCACAAAGGACAGCTTGTGGGTGAATGTGAGCATGCGTGAATGTGAGCATGCGTGAATGTGAGCATGCGTGAATGTGAGCATGCGTGAACGTGAGCATGCGTGAATGTGAGCATGAGTGCATGTGAGAGAATGCTGGTCATTCACTCCATTCCAGCACGCACGCACCTCCTCATGCACCTCCGGTGTGAGCGCGAACGAGAGCTCGTGGGCAAATGTGAGCAGACGTGAGCATGAGTGCATGTGAGCAGGCTCATCACTCCATTCCATGCCACCACGCCACGCACGCACGCACCTCCTCATGCACCTCAGGCGTCAGCACAAAGGAGAGCTCGTGGGCGAATGTGAGCAGATGTGAGCATGAGTGCATGTGAGCAGGCTAATCACTCCATTCCATGCCACCACGCCACGCACTCACCTCCTCATGCACCTCAGGCGTGAGCACAAAGGAGAGCTCGTGGCCGAACAGCACCACCATGATCGCCACTCCCAGGAGAGTCACTGTGTGTGTGTGTGGAGGGGGCGGGGCGGGGGGGGTGGTAGGGTGGTGATTGTGTGATTGGATTGGAGAAGATTGATTGTGCGAACATGGAAGCCACCTCAGGCGTGAGCACGAAGGAGAGCTTGTGGGCGAACAGCACCACCATGATCGCCACTCCCAGGAGAGTCACTGTGCACGTAAGGGGAGGAGGAAGGGGGGAAGGGAGGGGGGTAGGGGCGGGGCGAGTGGGGGGTGATTTTGAACTCTAAGGACAGCTCGTGAGCGAACAGCACCACCATGATCGCCACACCAAGCAGAGTCACTGTGGGTGGGTGGGGGAGGATGGGAGGGAGGATCGGAGGGAGGATGGGATGGGAGGTAAAGGGTGCGGGATTGTGGAGAGCATACGAGGAGTGAGTGAGCACCAAGAGCCACTGTGCACATGGAGGTAACTGTAGAGAGAGACACGAGGATGGGGAGAAACGGAGGCGGAGGGGAGTGGGGGGGATGGAGAGCGGAAGAGGGAAAGGGGGCTGGTTATTTTGATTGCCACGCCTACCAGAGTCACTGTACACGAGAAGTGATTGTGGAAAGAATCAGGCAAGGAAAGGGGGGGAGGAAGGGGAGGTAGCGATTGCACCGCCAGGCTGGGTGGCTGGTATTGAACGAGAGCGGTGTAAGACAAGTTATGAGAGGGGTCGGGTGGGAGAGCCCTGGGGAACCTTACGCAATGCCGTGGCTGGGGGCCCTGCGGCAATGGTGCCGTACGTACCGAGGGCGTCTCGGTACGCACCCCTCGGTACGTACCGGCAGCGTCTTCTCAAAGAGGCGGTCCTCCGCCTTGGGGAACAAGTGCGTGGCACACCTGACCTGGGGACAGCTGACCCCAACCGTATGTATGGAGGGCTCAAGCCTCATTGACGACACTCCAATCGAGCGTAACAATGCCACAATCCGCACTGCCTGCGTTGCGTACCGATGGCGCCCGACACCGTCTTCTGCGCGAGGTGGTCGTCCGCCTTGGGCTTGGTTGGGGAGCACGTGCGCGGCACACTGCCCGGGAAGTACCTGAGCCTCAGCCCCACCGTATGGAAGCCTCAAAGCCTTTTTGACATGCCAAGGCGCTGTACGTACCGATGGCGCCCGACAGCGTCTTCTGCGTGAGGTGGTCCTCGGCTTTGGGAAACGCGTGCAGCTTCGAGATCGCGCCCCATTTCCCGCCCATCGCGATAAATTGCCTGCGAAACCGAGCGCCCTCCTGCTTGCGGCGGAGTGGCTTCGGTTTTCGCGCGGTGCGGTCGACACTGGCGCTGCGGAGCGAATCGCGCGTGGACGAGGTTGGTTGAGCGCGGTGAGATTAGAACGGATTCACAAGGTTGGGTGAGAGCGGGAGCTGCGGAGAGGAATCGGAACCGGCGACGTGACGGCGGGTAAGTCCTAAGAACACGACGCGGACAGCTTCTACACTACCCTAATACGGAATCGGAGCGCAATGCTGGGGAAAGGGACGCGGTGTGCTGAGTGTGGGGGGATTGATCGTGGTGGTGTTCTCGAACTTGGAATCTAACTTCGAACAAGGTGGATGTTATGAGTTGTAAAAGAGAGTGCGCAGGTAAAAGAATAACAATGAAGGAACACACTAATGTAGGGGCTGGCCTAGCTAGGAGGAAACCTCGGACGAGCGAGGTTGGGGTGCAGGTTTGGCGATGGGAAATGCCGAAGGCGACGCGAGGAGTCTCGGCAGCGTTGAAATCGGCCGAACGTGCGAAGTCCGAAAATCGGGCTGTACGCGTAGCATGTGAGAATCACGAGGAAGTGAATGAGAGAAGAGGAGAGGGATTCACTAGCAAACATTGGGATACATATAGCAAACCCTAAAAGGGCTGTACTCACTATAGAGTACCCCACTGCAGACTAGAGAAACATACCGTATGGCCCCGGATATAAGCGCAGGCCTATGTTAAGCGCATGCGCTTGTATCTGGAGCAATGCGCTTATGGCCGATCCTCAATTATAAGCGCACCCCTTGGAAAATCGTGACTTATTATAAGCGCACCCATTTAGTTAAAAAAAAAAACATTTTTTTTAACCTACCTAGCAGGGCTGACGTTTCAAAAAAACCCACTCTGAGGCAGGGGAGAAAAAGATTTCGTTTAGTCTGAGGGTCATTTCCCAAGTTCTGAGTACTCTGAAATGTCAGGTTTGAAAAAATCATTAGTCTGAAAAGTTTTAAGTTTGTAAAACCGCATCCGAGTTGGTGAATAGCGAATATCTGTCAAGCGAGTTTGGCCTAGGGAAAACGTTGCGGAGTTGGCGAGAAGCAGGAGTAAGAGGGGGCGGGGGAAGGGGGAGGGGGGAGGGGGGCAGGGGGGGAATTGAATGTAATTCGAGAGAGGGGGAGGGGGGAGGACTGAAATTCGGCAAATTCAGGGGCCATACTCCCTGTAGTCTCGAGTCTCAGTATCGCACAATGAAGTACTCTGAAATTTTCAGAGTTGAAAAACTAACAGGTCTGAGGCCTTCAGAGTTCAGAATACAGGAATACTGAAATTTCAGGAAAGGCGAAAAAAAGAGTCTGAGATTTCAGACAATCAGACTAAAATAGTCTGATAAAATCAGCCCTGCTACCTAGCCTACATGTTCTAATCTTTACATTAATTTAGACAATCACATACAAGGGTGGTCTTTGCTGTCCTGCACTACACACCTTTCAACCTGCCTGGTCTACCCTACTGCCTATTCTTCCTCCTCGTCCGACTCGGGCTCGGTGGAGTTGTTGCCCCAGAACCCATCTGCCTGGATGTCGTCGTCCACCTCCACCTCATGGGACAACTGGCCTCTCCGGTGCGCCAGCACCAGTTTGTCTTCGCTCCCATCAAGGGCGTTGCTGATGCCGCACGTGAGGAAGGCTCTCTTGATCAGGTCGGCGGGCACCGCCTTCCACGCCCGGGAAATCCACTTGAGCACCACCTCCGGAGGTGGTTTCTTGATGTTCCCTGCATCACACGGAGTGGGGCGGGGAAAACATGAGACAACTAAACAGGCATACAAGCTCAAGATTTGCAGACGGGAACACATGTCGTCACTCACCTGCCGGGGTCAGGATGTTCATGCCGTCCGCCTCAAACCAAGTCTGGTACTGCTGACGAATGCTTGCTTTGAAGCTTTTGTTGATCGACACATCGAGGGGCTGCAGGTCTGCCGTGCAACCCGCCGGAATGATAGCAGGCACGATGTTGAGCGCCGCGAATCTCTCCTTGACTTCTGGTGTCAGGTGACCGCGATACGAGTCGAGCACCAGCATGGCGCTACGACTCTGCAGGCCGAATTTCGGCTTCAGGAACGGCACCACGCCCGTGTTGAGCCACTCGATGACGCCAGCGGCCTCCATCCACCCGTTCGTTTGGCAGCCGACCACAACATCTGCACGCAAGGAAAAAGAACGGTTGACGACTCTGGTAGTAACGGGAATAAACACGCGCGACGATCACGTACCGTTCGGGAAGTCACCCTTGGGGAGTGTCTTGCGCTTGAAAAACACCCACGGCTTCAGCTTCTCGCCCGTCGCCGTGCACGCAAGCATGACGGTCACTCTCTCCTTCTGGTACCCACCGCTGCGGATGGGCACCGACCTCACGCCCGTCTGCTCCACAGTGGTCGTCGCCGGCATCTCCAACCACAGCGGTGTCTGGTCGGCGTTGATTATGTAGCGGTTGTCAATGTCGTATTCGTTCCGGGCGTCACGTACGTACTGCCAAAAATCCTTGCACTGCTCAGCCACGTCTGCGGAACAGGGAGATAAGTACACATAGTAAACCAAATTAGTATCACGCACAGGAGACATGCGAAAAAGAAACTAAGCATAATCGGGATAAATCAAAATCAGCAGTAGACGACCCACTTGTCAAACATTATATATGTTGTATTTGTGTAGGCTACAGTGGGTTAGCCTTTAGGGGGTACACAATTCTAGGGTTAGGTACTTGTACTCCCTTTCCTTTCTAGTCCAACACTTCTTCTTTCTAAAATGGTATTAAGAGCGTAGGTTTAGACCTAGGATCGCTCCTTAGGGCCCACCGTTCCGTTCGAAGCGCCCTCGAGCGCCTTTCTCCTAGTGCGCCCTCATGCGCCTCACTGTCTCCTACTGCCCGTGCGCAGCTCAGTAGAGCCGCACGCGGCCTTTTTTTTTCTCGCGTGCGTCGCCCCCTAGCAGCCCGCGCGCGGCGTTTCCTGCGAGCGCGCCGCCCGTTAGCCTCCCACGCTGCCACGCGCCGCCCGCTAGCAGCCCGTCGACGGGCCCTTCTGGCCGCGCGTAGCCCGCTAACGACCGGCAGCCCCGCCCGTAGGCCGTGCCGCTGCCCTCTAGGCCGCCCACGTACTAGTCAGGCCCACGCAAGGCCACGGCCCGCCCGCTACAGCCGCCCGTGTGCACGCCCCCCCCCCCCCCCCCGTCGCGCACTGCCCCGTAGCCCGGCCCGAGCCGAACCGCGCCGCCCGAACCGAGCCGCGCCGCCCGAACCGAGCCGCGCCGCCCGAACCGAGCCGCGCCGCCTAGGCAGAGCCGTGCCGCCCTACTGTTCCTACTACTGCAGTTCCTACTACTACTGTCACTGCAACTATGGCTAGTCCTTCTGTGCTAGCTTTCGATGCTGAGGGCCGCCCACTGAAGTTTGAGATCTGGCTCGATGACTTACACCTATTCCTCCAGCTCACTGCCAAGGAGGATATCTCACTGTACGATCACGCGCTAGGCCATGCTACTGCCCCTGCTGCTACAGCTGACAGTACTGCCCGCTTACAGTGGCAGACTCGTGACGCTCACGCTCGCTTCGCTATTCGCAATTCCCTGCCGGTAGATGAACGCGAGCACTTTGGCCAGCACAAAACTGCGCAGGCACTGTACACTGCTGTAGTTGCAAGCTACTCCTCACCTGCCTCTGCTGCACGAGGCCATCTCTCGCTCCCCTACCTGTTCCCAGACCTGTCAGCTTTCTCCACAGTCTCTGACCTCATCACGCACCTCCGCACTAGTGAGGCCCGCTTCCGTGCTGCTATGCCCGCTGAGTTTCTTGTCAAGAACCCCCCCCCGCTCTGGCTCACTCTCTACCACCTAGTCACTCGCCTCCCTGACACTCTGCGTTCAGTCAGGGACCACTTCCTAGCTCGCTGCCCCACTGAGCTCACCATTGACCTCCTCGAGAAGGAACTGCTTGCAGCCGAGGCTAGCATAGTCGCTGTAGGTGCCTCTCGTGGCGACCCCCGCACCCCTTTCTTCGAGGGGTGTTCCCCTTCCCCCCTTCTCCCCTCTGTCGCCTCTGCTGCTGCTGTCGACCTAGTTGGTACTGAGCAGGTCGGAACTGCGTCCGCTCCGAGCTGGCGCCGCAGCGGCAAGGGCAAAGGGGGCAAGGGAGGTGGAGGTGACGGCGGGGGAGGCGGTGGTGGGGGTGGTGGCGGCGGTGGGGGTGGTGGCGGGGCTGGAGGGGCTAGTGGCGGCGGTGGGGGTGGTGGCGGCAGCGGCGGGGGAGGTGGCAGGGGCGGAGGCGGTGGTGGTGGCGGCGGTGGACGCGGAGGCGGCAGGGGCGGTGGTGGACGGGGTGGCAGCGGCGGAGGTGGTGGTCGTGGAGGCGCTGGCGGTGGCCAGAGCCAGCAGCCGACTCCGTCGCCCCAGGAGCTTCGTGAGTGGTACTCTCAGCACGGGGGGGGGGGGGGGGGTGGACTTAGCTGCACGTACGTCATCCGCACAGGTGACCGCACTGGTCAGACGTGTGGGAGGGCGCACACCACGCAGCGCTGCTTCTCCCGCCTCGACGACGCTTGGCGTACTCAGTTCCCTGCTGCCACTGAGCTGCCCCGCTGGGCTGATCTGATGAAGAAAAACATTGATATCTATGCTCTAGACTTTGATGCTATTCTCACTGCCATGTATGTGTTGTCTACTAGTGGAGAGGGTGCTCAGTACCTGCGTGTTCCGCCCGACCCGGGCATTCGGACCAGTGAGGCTGCCGCTCTAGGTGCTAGTGCGTCTATTGCCCTAGGTGCTGGTGAGGCTGCCGCTCCAGGTACTCCCGTGTCTCCTGCCCCAGGTACTGGTGAGGCTACTGCTCTAGGTGCTCGTGAGTCTGCGCCCCCTGGTACTGAGTCTACTGAGGCACTGCACACCTTCACACTGGACTCAGGTGCTTCTCGCTGTTTCTTTCGTGACCGCACTGCCCTTGAGCAGCTTGC